CTATGGAGATTTATTCTTTGCAGCTAGCCTGCTCCAGAGCAGGCTAACAACCAGGCTAAAATTAATCCTAGTGATTTATCTGTTAGTTCCGCTGTCAATCCTACTAGAAATTAATGTTTTACAGTCACTCCATGGTCTTCTGTAACTATGTTGCATCATTTTAATTATCCTGCATTAAAATACTACATATAATGTCATTCATCTAAGTATGCCTATTTTAGTGTTATTATGAAGACTGTTCATATTGCTGTCAGAGGTTTGATGAATACATATATTATTGCAGTTGTTGAGATTATAAGAAATGGCTGTTGAAGTTTCAAAGGTGGTTTCATTTAAGTCCATGACAAGGTCAATATGTAGTATATATAAGCTTAAGTCTGATTCAGGTGTTTCCTCTTAACGATGGCGTGCCCTTTGTTGGATGATGTACTAGACGAGGAAGTGTTAATACTCAGACGAGCATTCAGGCATGAAAGAGTCTTCCGGGACAGGTCAGACCCGTTGGCCTTTGCAGATGAATATCTAACTGAGAGGTACAGATTCTCAGGTGATGGCATGATATCTGTGTAGGCTGCTGGGTCCAAAAATACTACACAGAACAGCGTGGAGCCATGCTCTCACTGTCCCACAAGATGGTCTGTGTAGCGCTGCGATTCTTACCAAGTGGCATGTTCATTTATTCTGTTGGAGATGCTGAAAACCTCAATAAAGGCACTATTTGCCGCATGATAAGAAATGTTAGTCTAGCACTGAAATCACTTGCGCACATATTCATCGCCTTCCCTGGCCACAGAAGATTCCACCACATCAACGAGGAGTTCTACAAGATTGCAGGTAACACTAATTACAGATTACAACAAAAAAGTGTTACATTAGCACAGTTACAGTAGGAAACTCATTTTTAACAGTTTTCCTTAATTTCATTTGTGCAGTGGATTGCACCCATATCCGTATCAAACGCCCCTCAGGGGGCACATGAGGGAGATTATGTTAACAGGAAATCTTTCTACAGTATCAACGTTCAGGTAAGAATGATTTATGGTTACTGTCAGCTACATAAATTATTTCTGTGCATTAAATGACCTTAATAGGTCACATGTTATTGTTACAGATGATCTGTGATGCTGACTGCCTTATCACAAATTTAGAGGCAAAGTGGCCTGGCTCGGTCCATGACTCCAGAGTCTTTCGGGCCAGTAGAATTTACCAGAGACTCTGACTAGGTAAGCCACCCCAATTTTTTTAAGCACCCTGGACATCATGTGTGTGTCAGAAGTTTTACTCTGCTAGTTGTAAGAATTATATTTTGTATTCTCAGGTGAGTTCTCTGGTGTGCTGCTAGGAGACAAAGGCTATGCCTGTGAGACGTTCCTGTTGGCCCCCCTTGCAGACCCCCAAACTCCAGCACAGCAGGCTTACAACCATGCCCATGCCAGAACAAGGGCTCGCATCAAAATGACCTTCGGCCTCCTGAAATCACGATTTCAGTGCCTGCACCACCTGAGGGTCTCCCCAGACAGGGCCTGTGACGTGACTGTTGCCTGCACAGTGCTGCACAATATTGCCAGCCTAAGAAAAGAAAGGGCTCCCAGAGTTGCTTTGGATATTGTCTGGGACAATGCTGCCATCTTCCCAGATAACATAAATGGTAGACTGGTCAGAGAACAATATATAGCAAATTATTTCAGTTAAATTTGTTTTGATTTCGCCTATCCTTTAATAACACAATGTATGTCACTCTTTCATGTGTGCATGCATTTTGTTTGACATTAGTAGCACACACTGTGTGGTTATCTTCCCAAATTCTAGTTCCAATTCACTGGATCAATAACTATATAGTGTACTGGACATTAATGAAAAAGGTACGCGACCACAATGTTTTTGTATTTTTTATTTTTTTATTTTGCTGTCATCTCTTGTCAGTTTGGAGCTTTTGAGAGAAAAAATAACGATGATTAATACATTGTGCAGTCATGGTTGCAGTGTGAACTGAAATCACTTACTTCTCTCTCTAGTTTCTGGATTTCCAAGTCCAGTTTCCTCAGTGTCTTGCGTTTAATTTCCATGGTCCATTTCCTGCAGCTTTCTCTTGTTCACTTCAATCTTGCCCTCTGCCAGCTCTATCTGTCTCTTAAGATGCATTGTGTAGACACGTCTGACAGTTTGTGAATTCTGTAAAACACCTATCAATTAGCACAGCGGGATTTGTGCATAATGTAGGTTTACTTTAGGCAATACTCACTATGTTAGCAGGTTGCTTATCAGACTGCACAGTGTCTGGATCCTGTTAAAAATATATGTTCTATTAGAAATCACACTCCGGGCCGTTTCTAGCCAATTTGACGCCCTAGGCGAAATCCCTTTAGAATCACATTGCTGACTACTTATCCATTATGGACTAAAAATTTACACAAAATTGACATGACACCTCAAGCCTTCTGGAGTCCAGCGACACCGTCTCATCATCGGCAGAAGTGCACTCCACTGCTGCAGATGTGTCTTCCCTCTGGCATATTCAATAGAACTTGTATTGATAGCTTTGACAGGATGTGCCAAGCCTATGATTTTAATAAAGTGTACTCACAGGCGGATCATAGTCTGGTGGCTCCAGAAGTGTAAGTGTGTTACCAGACACTGCAAGGGAAGGCAAAGTCAGACAGTCCACATAAAAAAATCTAAATATTTGATTGTTTTCCATGTGCAGTAGAATGGCAATAATGTACTTTGTATGAAGAGGCCAGTTTCTCTTGCTGGGCCAGAGTCAGTGGCTGTCCCTCCCTGGATCCCTTCCATCACTGGCTTCCCTTTATTCAACTCCAGGGCCAGCTCCTCTGCTGTGGTGAAGTCTTGGGTTGGAGGGTCACCCCCCGTGCCAGATACATGAGCCTTTTTTTAAATACTAAAATCAATACAGACAATAAAATATGTCAGCAGACACATCGTCCTCTTTTGGAAGGCCAATCAAAGTAGTTTCGCTTTCACAACGAATCGCACCACATTCACAACATGGTGGCAACAACACTACAGCGAGAATAAAAGTTACACCTTTCATTGCGTGAACATTTGGGCGGCGTTCATACATGTGTTTGCATGAGTAACATGCATGTCCACTGGTCACATTTAAGGCAAAGTGTACAACTGTTAATTTGTGGAAATGACAAATAACTCCTTGAATTGTAATTATGATGGCTTCAGTGGAGCACTGGTTATTTGGACTACTTACGCATTCAATCGGTCCGCTATTGTCTGCCAGGCGTTTTCTCTTTGTTTTATTATAGCAGCTGTATTTCCCTTTTTACATATTATATGTTTCACCTACATATTATATGTTTCCATTAGAAGCTGTTGCTCAGTTGTCGAGAAGTATGCCACAGGGGATTTATCCATTTTTGCATCATTGATTCTGTGATCGATCCCGTGGTCTGTTTAAGAATGCCATGAACATGCACATCCCAACTATCTACACCTGGCTTGACATAGCTGCACGTTCTCATCCTGGCTCAGCAAACGTGCAATGGACTAAGCCAGGATGCGCTGATTAAACTAGGTCAAGCCGCGCCTTTTCTGTTGTCCTGGCTTTCTTAATTCTACTTTTGAGCAATGCCCCTCTGTTCTTCGT